CGATTAATCACGCTGTTAAACAATAATAGAATACCATTTATTTAAATTTTTGTGGATGATGTCTACGTTTTCAAATATATTGATTTCAAGTACAACACAGAATACAAAGTGTACAGTGTTCACTTTATTTATTTTATTACAAATATTTGCACTGTAAAAACAAAAGAAATAGTATTTTTCAATTCACCTAATACAAGTGCAATCTCTTTTTCATGAAAGTTGAACTTACAAATGTAGAATTATGTACAAAAAAAACCTGCATTCAAAAATAAAACAATGTAAAACTTTAGAGCCTACAAGTCCAATCAGTCCTACTTCTTGTTCACACAATTGCTCAGGCAAACAAGTTTGTTTACATTTGCAGAAGATAATGCTGCCTGCTTCTTGTTTACAATGTCACCTAAAAGTGAGAACAGGCGTTTGCATGGCACTGTTGTAGCCAGCATCGCAAGATATTTACATGCCAGATGCGCTAAAGATTCATATGTCCCTTGATGCTTCAACCACCATTCCAGGGGACATTTGTCCATGCTGATGATGGGTTCTGCTCGATAACGATCCAGAGCAGTGCAGCCTGGCGCATGTTCATTTTCATCATCTGAGTCAGATGCCACCAGCAGAAGGTTGATTTTCTTTTTTGGTGGTTTGGGTTCTGTAGGTTACGCATCGGAGTGTTGCTCTTTTAAGACGTCTGAAAGCATGCTCCACACTTCATCCCTCTTAGATTTTGGAAGGCACTTCAGATTCTTAAATCTTGAGTTGAGTGCTATAGCTATCTTTAGAAATTTCACATTGGTATCTTCTTTGCATTTTGTCAAATTTACAGTGAAAGTGTTTTTAAAATGAACAACATGTTCTGGGTCATGATCCGAGACTGCTATAACATGAAATATATGGTGGGGCCAGAAGACTTCCTACCTGGCTCGTGCTTCTCCCCCCTCTCCCTCCACAGCAGAGTTTGGCTTTGGGAGAGGGCAGGGGATTGGGGCACGGGACAGGATGAGGCAGGCTCTGGGTGGTGCTTACCTGGGGGGCTCCCCGGAAGCGGTGACATCCCCTTGCTCAGTTGCTAAGTGGAGGCGTGGCCAGGCAGCTCTGTGTGCTGCCTCTGCCTGCAGGCACCGCCTCCGCAGCTCCCGTTGGCCGTCTCCCAGCCAATAGGAGCTGTGGGGGCGGTGCCCTGGGCAGCTGCAATGCGCAGAGCTGCCTGGCCAGACCTCCACCTAGCAGCTGAGTGAGGGGGATATCGCTGCTTCCAGGGAGCCCCCCAGGTAAGCACCTCCCAGAACCTGCCTCACCCCGTTCCGTGCCCCCACCCTTTGCCTCCTCCCACACCCAGTCTCTTCTGCTGGGAGGAGGGAGGGCGTGGAGGCCCAAGACTGCCCCAGCAGTGGCCGGTACCCCGGCGCAGGGGCTGCCTGAGTTGCCCCTGAGCCAGGTGCACCGGCCACTGCAAAAGTCACAGAGGTCATGGAAAGTCACACAATCCATGACCTCCGTGACAAACTCGCAGACTTAACTATCATCCATAGATATTTTTTCAATATAGTCCTGTCTGTGTTTCTCCCTTCTATTGAGCATGTTTCAAATTACTTATCTGTGTGGAATCTTATTTTTTTCCTGCCCATATGTGTCTAAGTAACTTTCCATATCTCTGTCCTTGTGGATGTTGGCAAGACCTCTAAATTAGTATAATTTGTGTAAACATGCTGTTTGCCTACCTTCATGGACAAATAATAAGAATTTTAGGTCCCTAAAGATCCCACTCCCCACCCTTTTTCTCTGTCCAAATTGGTATATTATTGTTCTTTGTTTAGGATTCCATCTATTTTTTTTTATGGTGCTCATATCCAAAGTAGCTTGCTCTTCTTACAGCTAGTCCTTCCCTTTATTTTATTAAATTTCTTTTCCTTTATTAATCCTCCCAGTTCCTCTTGACCTCTTACTATTTACTTATTCCTTATCTACCTTTTTAACACTTAGCCTAAAACAACTGAACAATACACTAAAAATATACCATTGGGAACAATTTTGCATTGGCAGGAAGGTGAATTGGTGAGTCAACAAGTCTCTTTTCATTCTTACCATATTATGTTTTTTCCTACCACTTCTGTATGTGTTCTTTTTTGGGTTTTTTTGAGACCTGTTCTTGTAATTTGCCCACAGTTCAATCTGCTGTCTGTTCAGAAGTAGCCTGTTTCACCTGTTTTGGTCACAACTATTTGAGAAAAGGACTTGTTGCTATACAAGCACCATCTTCTCACACACCAGCCTTTTCCACCATACCTTTAGGTACCCTCTCTGCAACTATGTTTTTGGACTTAAGAATGCAGTAGTCTTTGAGGTTCTGTTCTTTAGTTTGCTTCACAGTTTCTTAAACGTAGTCCCCAGAACCTCATTTGCTAAACTGGGATCCCTATTTAGCAGTATGATGAAAGATACAAGATCTTGAAGTTTTGCAGGAATGGTCAATATCATATTTAGAGAACAGGAAACCACTAGTATAGGCAAAAAGGCTATAGGTCAGTATCTCCCAAGTTGGAGGTTGGGCCAAAGTGTGCCTGAGGAAAGTCACCACCTCTGTTCTTTCTATGGTTCAGGACTGTGGGAGCATCTTAGACGTACAGGTCTGCAGATGCAGTTGGCAAGCCGCCTGTAATCCAAGCTTCTCTTCTCTGTTGCCATGTCCTTCAGCTCATCTGGGGGGTGTCATCGAGTGCCCTTACTGTCAGTGTCATATAATCTGATGAGAAGGACCACAGGATGGAATAATAGAGCTGCTGGGAGTGAGTGGGGAAGGAAAAATCAGGAAAATAGATGAAAGCATACCAGAAACAATGGGAAGAAGAAAAAAGGGGAAAAATACACTGGGAAAAATGGACAGACCCAAAAGGGAGAATTAGAGTAAATGAACAGGAAAAAAAGGAAAGGCTGTGGCAACTGTATGAGTGGAACAGAAGGCAACACATTCATTCACTAATGCATCCCCAATGAGTGGCTGAAACAGAAAAATTTGGAAACTACTGCAGTAGCTAATTATTGAGTATGTTTGACACTACCCATCATTTGTTCGTGTATTCATATGCATAGTATCAGATTTGGTATTCATATTCTTGTTCTGAAGGTTGTTTAACTGACAGGAATTCAACTATCTCTCTTTCTCCATCTAGATTCAGTTCTAGGTGTGTAATCAAAGATTACTTTAACCTTGAAATCAACATACCAGTAGAAAGGCTATTGTAGCTCGATCATATAATGTAAGGGTGCTCATCACCCTTGCTGATTTATTTCCCCATCTCTCTTCATCCCCTCTCTGTTCACTTGCTCGCAGTCTAGAGTCTACCTCATCTAGAGTCTATCTGAACAGCATTATTCAACTAAACACCTTTGAGCTAGGAGAATTCTCCTCTGGCTTATACTGGAAATTTGAGGTTCTAGAGTGTGATTTTTTTTTATTATTTTATTTTTTTATTAAATTGCACCTTCAGAGAAGGTGAACTACAGTAAAGTAATTTTCCAATTTGTAGGCACAAATGACACTATGGAACACCAAATAAGATGTCTAAATTTTGTCATTTGTAAGTATCACAGTGAGGTACAAAATTGTGACCCAGTTTGAGCTCTGAAAATTGGGATTTACACTAGTGTTGTAAAATCTGACATGTGGGGCCATCACCCCTGGTTCTATATTGATTTGTGTTGTAGTTAGCCTTCCATTATTTGTATTTGTTCTGTAATTAGCATTTAGTAATTTTGAGAAGGATATTTGTTCTTCATATATAACAAGTTGTCAAAAACGTCTCTGGTTTAAATCCAAAATTCATCTCAACTTTAACTGTAGAACCGCTATCGCTTCTTGCACTCTCCAGCGTTGTCAGCATAATTCTTTGAAGTATTCATTTGAATCTACAGGTGAAGAGTTTGTGTAGTTACTTTTCTAGATCAAGTTATGGTGCCATAATTAAGAGTTCATTATAAGTTAATATTTAATAAGACTGATTCAGTGAAAAACCTTGATTTTATACATTAGTGCAATTGTTTTATAAATAATCTTTCACGGCAGTTTTTATGTGGGAAATTTAGCCAATTTAAAGTTTATCAAGACTTTTATTTTGAAATCAATTTTAAAAAATTATCTTTTCATCCTTGCATGGTGTCAAGTATCAGGGGGTAGTCGTGTTAGTCTGTATCTACAAAAACAACAAGGAGTCTGGTGGCACCTTAAAGACTAACAGATTTATTTGGGCATAAGCTTTCGTGAGTAAAAACCTCACTTCTTCGGATGCAACCTCACTTCTTCGGATGCATCCGAAGAAGTGAGGTT